CTCACCCCTCCTCCTGCCTCTCCCCTCACCCCTCCTCCTGCCTCTCCCCTCACCCCTCCTCCTGCCTCTCCCCTCACCCCTCCTCCTGCCTCTCCCCTCACCCCTCCTCCTGCCTCTCCCCAATCAGGCCGTCTGCTCGCTGCTCTATGCGCTGCTCGAGGCGGCGGACGCGCCCCCAAACCTCTTCCTGAAGCGCGAGGCTGGCAAGCTGTTCCCCGACGGCTTCCACGAGGCCCTCAAGGAGCTGCTTGTCGAGCTGCTGTGAACAGCGCCTCTTCACACCTCTGGCTGTGAACAGGACCTCAAGGAGCTGCTTGTCGAGCTGCTGTGAACAGCGCCTCTTCACACCTCTGGCTGTGAACAGGACCTCAAGGAGCTGCTTGTCGAGCTGCTGTGAACAGCGCCTCTTCACACCTCTGGCTGTGAACAGGACCTCAAGGAGCTGCTTGTCGAGCTGCTGTGAACAGCGCCTCTTCACACCTCTGGCTGTGAACAGGACCTCAAGGAGCTGCTTGTCGAGCTGCTGTGAACAGCGCCTCTTCACACCTCTGGCTGTGAACAGGACCTCAAGGAGCTGCTTGTCGAGCTGCTGTGAACAGCGCCTCTTCACACCTCTGGCTGTGAACAGGACCTCAAGGAGCTGCTTGTCGAGCTGCTGTGAACAGCGCCTCTTCACACCTCTGGCTGTGAACAGGACCTCAAGGAGCTGCTTGTCGAGCTGCTGTGAACAGCGCCTCTTCACACCTCTGGCTGTGAACAGGACCTCAAGGAGCTGCTTGTCGAGCTGCTGTGAACAGCGCCTCTTCACACCTCTGGCTGTGAACAGGACCTCAAGGAGCTGCTTGTCGAGCTGCTAGTCCGAAAGGTACCGCGCTGGCGCGACTGCCTGAACGGCACCCTCGACGGCGGCGGCGGCGGCGGCGGCGGCGGGAAGAAGAAGGGCAGGAAGGAGGAGTGGCGTGAGCTGGAGAATGGCGGGTCGCGCCGGGACGATGAGCCGACCTCACCGTCGTCTCTCCGCGCGGTCAAGGAGGCTCTCGTCGCCGGCGCCGCCTCGCCCGCCGGCGGCAACAAGGCGGTCTCCCCCGGCGCTGCGCGGCCGAGCGGCCCGCACGCGTCGATGGCAAAGTGGCTGGAGAAGCGCGCCGCGGAGATGAGGCGTGACGGGAGCACCGGCACCACTCTGCTGCTCGGCTCAAAGCTGCCGCAGGTGCTGCCGCCCCCCCCCCTCGCCGCCGCCGCCCTCGCCTCCACCACCGCCGTCTCCACCACCACCGTTGCCGGGGCGCCCGAAAACCCCCCCACGGGGGTTATAGAGAGGCTTTGGAGGCCCCCCCCCGCCCCCTCCCCCCCCCCCTCCCCCCGAGCTCCCCGCCCAGCCCGCCTCCCCCTTCTCCGCACCAGGTGCTTGTCGACGTGCTGGAGGCCGCCGACAACGCGCCGTAGTGAAGTAGTCGTTCGTTCGCAGCCGTTGATTCGTAGCTGATTCGCAACAGGACACGGACCTGCCGCCCCTCGTGATGCGCCGACTCTTCGCCCTCCTCGCCCACCCGTCCGTGAGCGAGACGCTGCTGCGCGAGCGGCTCGACGCGCTCTACCGCCGGCTGCTCGACTCTCCAATCTTCACGCCGCCGGCGCGCCGCGCGTGCGACGGAGACGACTCGCCGCCCGCCGACGCGCCGGACCCGCTCCTCCACCGCTACCTTGCAAACCTTCCCTCGCTGTGCCGAGAGCGCACCGCCAGCGGCGGCGGCGGCGGCGGCGGCGGCGGCGGCGGCGGCGGCGGCGGCGGCGCGGCGGCCGCTGCCGCCCACGCGCCGCTGACCGACGCGCTGGCGGTGGTGGAGGCGTTGCACTCGCGCTTCTGCGACGGGGAGGGCGGCGGCGGCGAGCGGCTCTCGTCGCTCAGCGTGCCGCTGCGCGCCGCCTCGCGCATGCTCAACTTGTCGCGCGCGGAGGAGGGGAAGGTCGAGGCGCTCGCGCCCCTAGAAGCGGAAGAGACAGGCGGAGCGTGCGCCGTCTTGTCGTTCTCACCCAGCGCTCGAGAGACGCGTCTGTTCAGCCGCATCCGGCCGCCTCCAGCTGCACTCGCTGTGCCCGCGTCCCCTCGCACGCACGCGGCGCTCTGAAGACTCTTGCACAGTGCCGCACACCCCGCCCCGAGGAATGCGCAACTCGGGTATGCGCAGCTCACCACACAAGCGTTCGTCCTCCCCCGTCTCCCCCCATATCTCCCCCATGTCTCCCCCACATCTCCCCCACATCTCCCCCACATCTCCCCCATATCTCCCCCCATGTCTCCCCCATATCTCCTCCACACCTCCCCCATATCTGCCCCACATCTCCCCCACATCTCCCCCACACCTCCCCCACATCTCAAAAAAAAGGCGCTCGTCGCCTCGCTCGTGGCCTCGAAGCCGGCGGCGCCTCCTCTGCGCGCGCTCGGCGCGGCGAGCAGCGGGGTTGGCACGGGGCTCTCCGAGCTCGCCCTAGCGTGGGGCGAGGCCAACGCTAACGCGTGGGCCGACGAGGACGACGAGGAGACCGACTTTTCGCAGCTCGGCGTCCGACCGCGCCGCCCACGGGTCGTGACCCCCCGCACCGGGATCGACCCTCTCGAGGTATGGTACTAGGCCGCCGCGCGGGC